TTACTTTCCACATATTTATAGGTTTTCCAGCTTTTCTCTTGTTGTTAATTATTAATTTCATACCATTGTGATCAGAAAAGATAGTTGTATGATTTCAGTCTTCTTAAATTTCCTAAGACTTGTTTTGTGTCCTATCATATGATCCACCCTGGAGAATGTTCCATGTGCACTTGAGAAGAATGTGTATTCTGCTGCTGTTGGATAGAATGTCTCCTAATTCCGTTTGATCTAAAGCATGGTTCAGTTCCAGTGTTTCCTTGTTGATTTTCTGTCTGGATGATTTATCCATTGCTGACAGTAGGGTATTGATGTGCCCTACTATTACTGTATTGTGGTCTGTTTCTCTCTCTAGATCTGTTACTATTTGCTTAATATATTTAGGTGCTCTGATTTGGGTTCATATATATTTATGATTATTGTATCTTAATATATTGATCCCTTTTATCATTATATAGTGACCTTCTTCATCCCTTGTTACTGTTTTTGGCTTAACGTCTATTTTATCTGATGTAAGTGTGACTACCCCTGCTTTCTTTTGGCTTCTACTTACGTGGAATATCTTCTTCCATCCCTTCACTTTGAGCCTATGTGTGTCTTTAGGGCTGAAATGAGTCTCTAAGGCAGCATGTAGTTGGATCCTGTTTTTTTATCCATCTAGCCACTCTGTGCTTTTTGAATGGTGAATTCAATCCATTTACATTAGTTGATAATCGATATATGAGGGCTTACTACTGCCATCTTATTGATTGCTTTCTGGTTGTTTGGTATTTTCCTTGTTTCTTTTTCCCTCTGTTTCTGCCTATTTTTGTAAGTTGGTGGTTTTCCATGGTGATATGCTCTGCTTCCCCATTTGTTATGTTTTGTGGGTCTACTCTAGATTTTTGCTTATGGTTACCGTGATGTTTAAATAATACATCTCATAGATAAAATAGTCTGTTTTATGCTGATAACAACTTATCTTCATTCCCCTATAAAGGCTCCCCCCTTTTACTCCTCTCCTTTTATGTTTTTTTTTTTTTTTTGAGCAAGATTAGCCCTGAGCTAACATCCACTGCCAATCCTCCTCATTTTGCTGAGGAAGAGTGGCCCTGAGCTAACATCCGTGCCTATCTTCCTCGACTTTATATGTGGGATCCTGCCACAGCAGGGCTTGATAAGCAGCAGTGCCTAGGTCGTGCCTGGCATCCGAACTGGTGAATTCTGGGCTGCTGAAGCAGAACCTGCAAACTTAACCACTATACCAGCAGGCTGGCCCCGCCTTTATGTTTTTGATATCACAATTTACCTCTTTTATGCTGTGTATTTGTTAACAAATTATAGTAGCCTTAGTTATTTTTCATCCTCTTTTCCTTTAACTTTTTAAATTGGTTTTTTTTTTTTAAAGATTTTATTTTTTTCCTTTTTCTCCCCAAAGCCCCCCGGTACATAGTTGTATATTCTTTGTTGTGGGTCCTTCTAGTTGTGGCATGTGGGACGCTGCCTCAGCGTGGTTTGATGAGCAGTGCCATGTCCACGCCCAGGATTCAAACCAATGAAACACTGGGCCACCTGCAGTGGAGCGCATGAACTTAACCACTCGGCCACGGGGCCAGCCCCCCTTTAACTTTTATACTGTAATTAAGTTGTTAATATACCAGCCTGGAGTTTTCTATTTCTCATTATAAATTTCCACTTTTACCAGTGTGTTGTACACTTCTGTATGTTGTCATGTTGCTAATTAGTGTCTTTGTTTCAGCTTGAAGAACTCATTTCAGCATTTTTTGCAAGGGAAGTCTAGTGGTAATGAAATCCCTCAGCTTTTGTTTGTCTGGGAAAGCCTTTATTTCTCTCTCCTTCACATCTGAAGGATAACTTTGCCAGATAAAGTATTCTTGGTTGGCAATTTTTATCTTTCAGCATTTTGAATATATCATTCCACTCTCTCTTGGCCTAGAGGGTTTCTGCTGAGATATCCGATGATAGCCTAAAGGGGTTCCTTTGTTGATTACTTCATTTTTTCCCTGGTGCCTTTAAGATTTTTTCTATATCATTGATTTTTGACAGTTTCATTACAGTGTATCTTGGAGAGGGTCTTTTTGCATTGAGGTAATAGGGTATTCTATTAGCTTTGTAGACTTGGATGGCCAGGTCCTACCCCAGCTTTGTGAAGTTCTTAACTATTATTTCTTTAAATAAACTCTCTGCCCCCTTTTCTCTCTTTTCTTCTTCTGGGACACTAATAATTCGAATATTTGCCTTTCCAGCGGAATCCAGTAGCTCTTATGGCTTTTAAATCTTAGAACTCTTCTAACTGTAGTGTGTTTCTATATTCCTATCCTCTAAGTCACTTATTCTTTCTTCTATCTGGTCTGCCCTGCTGTAGATGCTTTCTATTGCAATCTTCATCTCATTCATTGAATTCTTCTGCTCCAAAATTTCTGTTTGGTTCTTTTTTTATAATTTCAGTCTCTTCAGTAAAGAACTCTGTTCATTAATTTTATTCCTGATTTCATGGAATTGTCTTGAGTTCTCTTATAGCTTGTTGAATTTCTTCCTAATGGCAATTTTGAATTCTTTATTCAATAGATCACATATTTCATGCCTTTGAGTTCAGTTGTTTGGAAAATCAGCATTTTCTTTTCATGATATTGTATTTCTTTGATGTTTTTCATACTGTTTGTTGCAAAGTGCTTCTGTTTTCACATTTGAAGTAGCAGATACCCCCTTAACTAAGCTTTTATGACTTCTTTGGTTCGTACAATTCACCAGGATGGCGTTTAGAAACCTTTCTTTTGTATTCCAGAAGGTTGTGCTAAAGCTCAAGTTTGTGGTTTCTCCCTTGCCCACCAAATGTGGCCTATTTTCTGAACACTCTCCCTGTGTCTTGGAGCTTGTTCTTGTGGGTGCACTCCTGAGTGTGCACAAGGAGCCAGCAGCAGAGTTGGGGTGCTGTGGGGCAAAGCACTTGGGGCTTTGCAGGTCCCTGTGGGCCTGGTGGGGAGATCCTCAAGTCAGGGACTCCAAATGGCTTTTGGGTGGACTTCCTGCTGCTGTCCTGAAGCAGACAGCAGGAACCACATTCCTTCAAGACCCTGTGACATTATCTGTTCCTTCCCTTTCTCCTCCCTCCTCCTAGTCATGGAGGTCCCTCCTCACAGATCTGGGTGCTCTTGGAGGGAAAGAGGTTTCTCCAGCCACAACTGCTTTTGCTTTCCACCTCTTCCTTGGGAGAGGTCATCGCTGCCACTGCCAAACAGCTTAATGTGCAGCGTTGCCTTAGGTTGGAGGCAGTGCTGGCATCTCCCTGAGGCAGGATGGGCTTCTACAAATGCTCTCCTGCCTGTGGGTGTCTGCGCAGCTTTGCTCTTCGGGTTTTTCTCCAGTCGCAGTGAGTGGGGGTAGGGTGGTGGGTTCAGCAACTCCCTTGGATCCACAGCCCTTACTGAGGCCTTGTTTGTTTTTAGATGGACGGGTGGGCAAGAATCCTCCCAGATCCCTTGGTTAAGGTGCTTAGGCACTTTTGTTTGGTTATGGACGTCTAATTAGTTGTTAAAAAAGATGAGAGAAAAGAGGAATGACTTACACCACCGTGATGCCGACGTCACCTTAAAAATTCCCCAAATTCCTATTTTAAAGTGGTTGAATTTCAGGTTTTTTCCTTCATGGGTAGTGCCTCTTAAGTCTTTCCCTATCTTGAGTTCATAAACATTGTCCTCCTATATTATCGATACCTAACCATTCCAGCTCTGTTGATGAAATAGTTTGCTCTTTCCCAACTTTCATGTTATATGTAATTTTATAAGGTATGTATATCCAGTGCTCACAATGATGCACACACCCTAGGAGTCCGAGCCCTCTGCTCCTGCTCACCTCTCCTTGCTCCTCCCAGTGAGAATATGCTCAGGGGCTTCAGGGTAATGTTTGTGAACACCTTGAGAGAGTTAAGCTTGGAATCCTGGCTCTGCCTTTTATTAGCTGACAGCCATGGCAAGTTATTTAACCTCCCAGCCCTGATTTCCTGACCTATAAAATGGAGTGTTGGTCTTCTGTGGGGATGGTGGTTATGAGAGTTAGAAATGATGTAACACAGAGCTCAAAGGGTAGTGCATGGGTTGCTTTGCACTTGTGAGGTGGAGGAAGGTGTTGTGCATTTGCCATGTCCAAAACTCAGTGCTCCTTTTATTGCCGGAACCCGGTCCACCACCGCCTGTTTGCTCAGGCCAAAACTTCTGTCTCTGTGGATGCCACACAAGCCTTCCCTTGTGCTGCGGCCTCGTGACTGCAGTCCACCTTGCTTTGTCTCTAGTCTGTTCTCCCTGTGGTGTCCAGCATCCATTCTAGTTTTTAATATGAGGCAGATCCTGGCACTTGCTTGAAACCTTTCAGATTTGAGAGTGTTTATGAGCCACTGGCATATAGGAAGAAAATATTAGAACTTCAATATACTTTTAAAAATTCACCTCCGTTTGTTGTTGGTGGTGGTGGTGGTAGTAGGGGGTGTATGCTTATTTATAATGTATGTGTTAGTAATGCAGCATAGCATTGGGGTGTTGGTCATGATCTGTAAAGTTTAGACCTAGCCATTAGGTCTAGATTGTCATTAAATCCTGTTATTTTTCAAGCCAAATTCTCTGTGTATTCTTGGATGCTTCTGTCATCTCTACCCCACATGTAGCCTCTAAACTTCTTGTGATTGTCTCCCAGATGCCTTTGGGCCCATCTGTTAGGTTAGTGGAGCACCTGTCTTGTACTCCAGATTGTAAACTATCAGAGAACAGGTGTTGTCTTTGCCTTTCTTGGTCACCCAGGACTTAAGTAACCTGAATAAATATTTGAACTTATATAATGAAGAACTCCTACAAATTAACAAAGAAAAATATTAAGACTTCCTTAATTTAATGGGTAAAGGACAGCAATTCACAAAAGGTCATAAAATAAGAAAATGTTTGACCATAATATTAAGTAAATTTAAAACTTGGAATTAAATATTAAAACTAACTCTGACAATTATATTCTAACAGGCAATCCATCTCGAAGATCCAAGTCCGTGCCTCCTTGTGATTTAGGCAGTTCGGATAAGGGACAGGTAAATCTCTTTATATTTTTATATATTCAAACATAGATTACTCAGGATTGAAATTGATTAGTTAACTGACTTAAGTTTCTAAGCCATTTACAAAGGAGGCTTTTACTTAACATTGTGAATGTTTTCTGTAGAAAACTAGTCATAGAATCCTCTAATTAGTAGAATCTGGCTTTTGGAAGTAAGTGTAAGTTTTAGCTGCTTGAACTGTCATCACATGTCCTTTGGGACAGATGAGTGCCTCTTGTCCTTACAGACTGCCTCACCCAGGGAGCTCCCTGAACCAGCGGACTTCCCAGATCCCGACTATAAAGAGGAGGATGAAAAAGAGGAGAAAGAGGAAATTCAGGGAGAAATCAGTCATCCTGATGGAAAGGTTAGAAATTTTTTTAAAAATGGTAAATACTATAAAAAATAAACAGGGTTAAAATAGAGTTGAAACACTTAGATTCTAAAATAATTGATCTTTCAGACTGTTGATGGGGCTTGAAGACCTGCGGTACTTTGGGCGTGACCTCGGCTTAAACCTTCGGATTCCTCTGAAAAGACAGTGTGCATTTAGTTGCCATTTCTACTTCAGAGATGCAGCTGGAGAAGGGATACAGTCCCTTTGTTTAAACTCTTTGTTCTTCTTCCAGACAAAGCTAAAAAGCCTTTGTAATCCTTTACTTTTAAAAATACTTTCAAAATACTTTTTAAAAGCCTCAGTTCTAGGCCTGCTGTTTCCTGCGGCCTTTCTTAAATAGAGCCTGGGTCACGTGTCTCTCTCTCCATCTCTAGCCTGCACAAGTTTATTCTTGGGCATCAGCAAGGTTTGGAGTGGGAAGACTGCCTGGCTGGGTATTCCAGCTCCGAGGAGGAATGAAAAAGGAAGGGACATAAACAGGGTTTGTTACTGGGGAGGTGATGAGGGAATGTTTTCTCAGGTTTATAAAACATTTACTTTTCCAAATACCCTCATCGGATCCATTTTAATTGAAATTTTAAGGCCGGAGTTTACTGCTAGTCTTGAGGAATGAGGGAAGGACAAAGAACAAGTGAGAGGAAGTAGTTCGACTTCCTGTACGAACTCTACTCTAGGGTAACAAATTGTCGATGTGGCAGGGTTTCCTGTGATAGGAGAATTCCAGCTAATAAATGGAAAAGGAATGAGAAGGAGACCCATCAGTTTGCAACCTCTAATGAGGTAAAGGATCTAGGCAGCAGTCACCACTGACTCCTGACACCGCAGATGAAAGGTGGATGGGGTCTCAAGGCAGGTCTGTGACCCATCAGGCCTGGGGTCGGGGAGACAACTGCATACCGTGCTTCTGAACCTGTTGCCACAGCAGCTCACAGCAGCACCTAGAAAGTATTCTTATCAGAATAATTCCACTGGAGGTTAATCAAGCCTCTAGGTCTAACTACTAGCTTTTTCAAGGAGGTACAGGGGATGTAAGAACATGTTAAATGACATCATAATGGGAAAGCAGTCAAATCCAGAATGTGAGCAATGTTCAGGGACCCAGTTCCTTCAACAAGTAATTGGCATTGAAGAGGAGGAAAGGACGAGACTGTTAAAATTGAGATTTAAGAAACACATCAACCCAGTGTTGTGAGGATCTTGTTTTGATCCTGATTGAAATAAACTGTAAAAAGCCTTTTTTGTGAATTTAGGGAAAACAATACGGATGGTTATGATATGATGAAGGAATTATAGTTTGTTAGGGCTGATCCTGATTTGGTTACATTAAAAATCCTTCCATTAGAGATATCTACTGCAGTGTTTACAGGTGTCTGCCGTTTGTTTTAAAAAAACCTCCACCAAAGAAGGAGTTTAGGGGGAATAGGTGACATAAGAATGGTGATGTGGTGATACTTAAAATTGATTGTTGTGAGTTTATTAACTTGCTCTCCTTTTGGGAGAATTTTTTTTTTTTTTTGAGGAAGATTAGCCCTGAGCTAACATCTGCCAATCCTCCTCTTTTTTTGCTGAGGAAGACTGGCCCTGATGTAACATCCCTGCCCATCTTCCTCTACTTCATATGTGGGACGCCTACCACAGCATGGCTTGCCAAGCAGTGCCATGTCTGCACCCGGGATCCGAACTGGTGAACCCCAGGCTGCCGAAGTGGAACATGAGAACTTAACTGCTGCGCCACCAGGCTGGCCCAATTTTTTACGGTTTATTATGAAAAATTTCAAAGTAGGCAATTAGGAAGAGAATTAGGGATATTTTTGTCACATGGTCTCAGGAGGAAATCTTACATATATTGATAATCTTGTTTGTTTTGTAGATAGAAAAGGTTTATAAGAATGGGTGCCATGTTCTCTTGTTTCCAAATGGAACTCAAAAAGAAGTGAGTGCAGATGGGAAGACTGTCACCGTCACTTTCTTTAATGGCGATGTGAAGAAGGTCATGCCAGACGAGAGAGTGGTAGGTCTCCATGGGGGTGTTTTTCTTCACGGCTTGAACTTCTCTAAGAAAAGGCCTACTGACTTCGTGTCTTTACAGATCTACTACTACGCGGCTGCCCAGACCACGCACACTACTTATCCCGAAGGACTGGAAGTCTTACATTTCTCAAGTGGACAGATAGGTAAAAACTTGCTCTGCCTTCTCCTTATTAAATTCTTCCTTTCCTTTAAAAAGGAAATACTTATAGTAACCTTTTTTAAACAGAAAAACATTTTCCAGATGGAAGAAAAGAAATCACATTTCCTGACCAGACTGTCAAAAACTTATTTGCTGATGGACAAGAAGAAAGTGTTTTCCCAGATGGCACAATTGTCAGAGTCCAACGGTATGATCCCTGTCAAATTTGTTTCTAGAGTCTCCATTTTCGTGGTTCAACTTTTATTACCAATTGAATTTTTATAATCATAATCAAATTTCAGTGAGTTCAGAAGTGGGCAAAGATAGACGCTAAGAGCAGGTGAGTTCACAATTAGTTTGGGACACACAGATCTCAAGACTTAAAGGGAGTGTGCACAGCACCTCAGGAAAGGAGGAGGGCAGGTACTTATTTAGAAATAATTTGTTGAAGTCTGAAAACAGTGAATGAGACACAAGGAAGGAGAGCTTCCCTGTCAGTTTTTAAAATAACCCAACACTGGCAGCTGCGTTTAAATTAGACCTTCTCTTCTCTTGCCTGTAGTTGATGTTCTGGGTCTCCCTGTCCCAGCCTGATAAGCACTTTATTGTCCGGCCTCCTGGACCCAATTCTTTAAAGTCAGCAACCTCTTTGTTTATCCTTGTAAGTGTTAGATTTCTTGAAGTTAGAGACTTCTTCTTGAAGTGACTTCTTTAGTCCACAATACAGAGAGCATCTTATCATCACCGTTTTAATTAAAAGCATGGTGAAGGTTTGTCAAATCCAGTGTCCTGTTTTTAGTTTCCACCCTCCTCTCCTGGAGAATGACAGTTGAGTGCCCATTAACTTCTATACAACTAATACATCATAGGTGCATTTAACTAACTTGAATTCTATGATATAAACTTGGCCAAAAAAAAAGGTAAGAACATGAATTCAAATAATGTAGGAACTTCTTATGGTCCTCAGTGTTTTTCCCTTAACCTAGCCTTGAAAGTATCTGGTGCTCAACTAAATAAATAACAATTCGTTCTAAAATTTGAGGAAAATCTTGTGTACACTATACTTTGATTTCAGAAACTTTTTAACTGTTTGAAATTTTCTATAATAAAAAGTAGAGAAAATAATATGAAAACCTCCATGTACCCATCTATCCTTTTTCAAGTATTAACTCATAGCCAATCTTTTTTCATCCACACTCAAGCAAATCCCAGATAATATATTAGTTCATTCACGATTATTATCTTTTTGACATATAATTGACATTACTTTCAGGTGTACAACATAATGATTTGATATTTGTATATACTGCGAAATGATCACTACAATAAGTCTAGTTAACATCCATCACCACAGTTAAAAAATTTTTTTTGTGATGAGGACTTTTAAGATTTACTCTCTTAGTAACTTTTAAATCTGCAATTCATTCAGGATTATTTTGGCTTTTTTCACTAACAGCCATGGTTCTTAGACTTTAGTTTACATTAAAATCACCTGGAAGGATTGTTCACATGCAGATTGCTGGGCCCCACCCCAATGATTTGCATTTGTAACGCGTTCTCAGGTGATGCTGACCCCTCGGCCAGGGGCTGCACTTTGATGATGGCTTTTAGTCCAACATTTGTATGTGGTACAAAGCCATTACCTTCATAAAAAATGTGAGAAATAACCAAAATAGAAAAAACCACTCTCCTGAGAAATGGTGATTCCCAATCTTTAGCCCTAGCTTTGTGTTTCTAATGGTACATTATACCTGTGTTTAGGGGTTTCGTTTGACTGTCCCACAGGCAATTGACTTGGTATTAACTATTTCCCATATTCTGCTTCTGTGTTCCATTGCTTCAAAACAAGACTGAAATCTGATCATGGCTCTTCCCAGGGACATAGCTCTCTAGGCACTCATAGCACTGAGGTGGCTTTTAACTTAGAAGAATAAGGGTCCAAACCGGAAGCCGTATTTTAATACAACACCCAATTTTTTAGAGGTAGAAGACACATGAAATTGGAAGAAGCACCCTACGCATTTTGTGGTGAAAACAAATTTATTAAACTTTTCATGGGCACTTATAAGTGCTAAGCTGATAACTGGAACTTTCAGCCTGCAGCAGAAACACTGTGGAAAGAATTTGTAAAGAAGGTCTTGTGCTGGGAAAAACACCAAGGGATGTTCTAGAAGAAATAACTGCCAGAATAAAAAATCTGGCAGTTTTTAAAATCATTTTCCTGTTGTATATTTCATATTTTTAAAGAAATTAAATTCTATTTTAAATTTCCAGAGATGGCAACAAAATCATCGAGTTTAATAATGGCCAAAGAGAACTACATACTGCTCAGTTTAAGAGACGGGAATATCCAGATGGCACCGTTAAAACTGTATATACAAATGGTCATCAAGAAACAAAATATACATCTGGTCGAATTAGAGTTAAAGACAAGGATGGAAATGTTCTAATGGATACAAAATTGTAATGATCCTTGTGTGTGACTAATCATGAAATAACACTAACTTGATTTTCTTGTTAAAAAATGTACATTTCTTGTGGGCTCTGTGTTTAATTTATATAAACTCTCTCTGTATGTATAAATGGAACAGATTATGTTTGGATTATAAAATAAAACTCTATAGCTTCTTTTTATAATCTTTGAAATACACCAGGACAGCTTTCATTTTTAATTCACCTATCCTGTCTTTCTACTATTAAACGCATGACTAAGGAAAGCATTATTTGTCATAAACTGGATAGACTTTAAAAATAAGTGGGTGCTTTTATTGGTTGGAGATGGTTATAAAAACCAAGAAGTACAAGAAATGCTGTATCACATAGATTTTCCATGGGCACATCAGCCGTAGAACAAAGACCTAACAGAAAGTTTACTCAAGGAGTGAGAGAATTTCTCCACTCAAGACATCACTGTGTTCAGTTAGTACTCAAATTAAAGCATTTTAACTACTACAGAGGTGCTTTTAATTGTAATAGACTGGGAAGTTAAAACAACAAATGAATACAAATGGGTCAAACAGTAAAACAGGTAGAAAAGTTCATTCTGTGAGAACAAAACCGGTCAAAATGGGACACGTAAGAATGGAGAGGGTGTGGAAGATGACTAGCCAGTGTTTACTGACTGACCACACGCACCTTGACGCTACAGCCTGCCTGTAAGACTACAGGCTGACAGAAGCGAGATGTCCCTGAAGGAAGAGCAGGTCACCTACATGAAAAGACAGTAATTACAGGATGGTCCAGGCACTCAGTGCAGTATGACAAGGGTGTTGCCACTGACTCAGGTTAAAAAAAAATTCTTGGTGTTTTAAGAACTGAATGTGAAAGTTTAAAACTTTTCAAAGAAAATGAGTTATACATATTACCTCAGGATAGAGAAGGACTTTTAAATGAGACAAAAGACAGAAACCTTAATTAAAAGGTTAATAAATGAGTGAAGTTTGTTTGCCTCAAGATACCACAAAAATGAGAAAAGCTAAGCCATAGACTAGGAAAAGATACATATACCTCACAAAGGATTAATATCCAGAATATATAAGGACTTCCTACAAATCAATAAGATAATTACAAACAACTCAATAGAAAAATGGACAAAGGATATGAAAAAGCCATAAACAAGTGACTAACCACTAAACCAGTGAATGCATTTTAAGGTATGAGATACCTTTCGATACTAGCATCCTATACCAGCAAATAATGGTCTGGCCACGCCATGTGTTGGCAAGGAACTCAGACTACTGATGGTGAAGTAAATTGATAAAATCACTTTCTGGAAAGCAATTACCCCATGACCTAGTAAATTCCACCACTAAGTATATGTACACCCCTCACATGTACACAAGGGGTCCTCAGAAGAGTATCTGTAATGGAGGAAAAACTGGTAACAATCTACGTATCTAGCAACAGAATAAATTATATGCACAGATGGCTATAACAGTCAAAGTGAATAAAATAGACCTATGTATACCAATATGGATAAACAGTGGAAATAGAAAAAAAGGTAATTGTGTGATACTGCACACCTTTAAAAATATACAGAGCAATATGTTGTTTATGGATGGATTCAAATACAGTAAAATTATAAAGACTTATAGAAGAATGATAAACACCAAATTCACAATAGCGTTCACTTCTAGAGGGAAGAGAATGATTGGGGAAGGGTATTACAAGGGCCTACAAACGTACTGACAATGTCATATTTCTTGGGCTGAATATACATTAGTTATAAAATGAACTAAAATGGTCTTTTTCATCATATGCCTAAAATACTTCTTTTCAAAATTATAATAAATAGAAAATATTTGAAAGCAAATATTTATTAACTGTTATTTCAAGCAATTCCTAACAGTTCAACATGTAACAAAAGTGGGAGGGGAAAAAAAGGCTAGCACTATTGCAGAACAAGTTGAAAAAACTAAGCCTCAAATGGTCTACATATAACAGAAAGCTTTCTTCTGGGCTGCTGTAGGTGTTCTGCACTGGGTACCTGAAGAACAAAATTAGTGTTATTTTAAACTTTTGCTTAATGCTAACGTTCAAGTCCAGTTACTGAATCACTTGTTACATTTACATGAATGGATAGAGTTAGCTGGTTACCCAAGTACTTTCATAACTTTGTTATTAGGACATTGATTGTTCAATGGTGCTATATGCACACCACATAGTTATGTGTTTAAATGTTTTATAGTGCCCACAACTGTCTGGTACTATGAACTGAATCATGATAGCCATTCCAAGCATTCTTACAGATATGGAACCTGTTTTGATACTGGTATTCAATAGGTAGGTGAGAAGGACCTATGAAAGACAAATCTAGAAGAGAGATTCTTGCTGAG